TATTTATAAAAAACGTTAGCGCCATGCACAACGATTTGGCAGTTTATTTAGGACTAGTCCATCTATATTCTGAAAAGAGGAGGGGGGAGACGAAATTTTTTATAATGTATGCTGTCTGAAAGCCACTGTAAGCGTGAACAATCAATTAAGACCTGAAATAGTTTATCAAATCTTTCCAATGATTGCTAAGATAGAATCCATCTTCTCGGTTGAAATTGTCTCTGTGCTTGTATATGTGGATAGCCTCATGAACGAATCTCTCATAGTAGCCAGATGGCTTACAAAGAACCTCTGTCTTGGAAAAGTCAATGGCATGTGAGCCTACTGAATTAGAACAATGATCTGCCACGGCCGAGGTGTTGGTCCTACCGTGTTTAAGGTCTGCTTTGTGTTCACGAATTCGGTCCGAGACATGGCGTTTGGTTTCTCCAATGTAACTACTACCACAGAGGCAAATTAGTTTGTAGACACCAGGGTATTGTATGTCCGGAATCACATCTTTTACAGACGGAACCAGATCACGGATTTTATGTAATGTGTTGAAACGGACCTGGATCTTGTGTTTATTCAAGATTTTGGAGATCTTTTTTGTGATCCCCGCAATGTAGGGTAAAGTGATGGTTTTGAAAGGCACCTCAAGAGGGTTCTTCTTCATGGTTTGAGTGATAGCTTTGCGGATTGTATAGTCGGAGTAACCATTAGCCCTAAGAGCTTGGTGTACGTGCTTGAGTTCACTGCTTATGTGTTCCTGGTCGGATATGCATTGGGCTCTATGATACAGAGTCTTGATGAGAGAATTCTTCTGTGATGGATGGTGGTGGGAATCCGGTTTCAGATAAGCATCCGTATGGGTAGCTTTCCTGTAGACAGAGTGGCTCATTGAACCATCAGGTCTCTTTTTAATTAGGACATCCAAAAAAGGTATCTTGCCATCTATTTCGACTTCCATGGTAAATCTGATGGCTGGGTGTATGGAATTGATGTGGTGGAAGAATTGGTCTAGAGCAGGCCGGCCATGTGGCCAGATGACAAAAGTGTCATCCACGTACCTCTTCCATAAGGTTGGGCGCAGAGTGGCAGTCTGGATGGCGTCAGTCTCAAATTTCTTCATGAAAATGTTAGCTATAACTGGAGAAAGGGGGGAGCCCATTGGGGTGCCCTCAGTTTGTTTGTAGAAAGTTCCATTCCAAGTGAAGTATGTATTGGTTAAACAGTGTCTCACCAGGGGGGGTACCTCAGTGTTTAGTCCTTGATGAACCAAGTCTTCAATGATTGCAATGGTGTCAGGTACAGGAACCTTGGTGAATAAGGAAACTACATCAAAACTGACAAGCAGGTCGTCTGGGGACAGGGAAATACCCTTGATTGTCGATACCAGGTGAGTAGAATTTTGTACCGCAGAGGTGGTCTTTCCAGTGAAAGGACGCAGGATTTCAGACAAAAAACGAGCTAGTTTGTAGGTGGGGGAGCCGATAGTAGAGACTATGGGACGAAGGGGTGTATCTACTTTATGTATTTTTGGTAAGCCGTATAATCTTGGTGGCCTGGCAGCAGAAGGTTTCAACGAAAACTGTTTAGATTGATCAATTAATGCGGTTGAATCAGAAATTAATTTGTTGGTTTGTGTGACGAGGCTGTTGGTGGGATCTCTTTTTATTTTTGTATAGCTACCATCGTCGAGTAATTCTTTAATTTTGTTGTTGTATTCTATTTTATCCATGATGACAGTAGCATTGCCTTTGTCAGCTGAGAGGACTACAATATCATTCCTCTTTTTTAATTTATATAATTCAAAACGCTCATCTTTGCTGAGGTTGCTAGCTGGCATCTTAGCGTTTTTGAGGGTTGCAGCGATTTCAGATCTTGCTACGTCTGCAGCGATGTGACCCAGGCCCCTGAGAGCAACGTCTACTTGGGCAATTATATCATTAACTGGTATGTGTTTAGGTGTGACTGCAAAGTTTAGACCTTTAGCTAAAACGGATTTCAGACCATCGGAAATAGAACTGTTACTGCGATTAATTACGACTTTGTTAACGTCTAACTTTTTGGTGTGTGGGTCCGGTCTTTTGTTGAAGAGGAGGTTAAATTTGGAAATCAGGTTTTCCTTACATTTGGTCGACATAGTAGCAGATAGTAGCAGCAGATAGTAGCAGCTACTATGTCGACCAAATGTAAGGAAAACCTGATTTCCAAATTTAACCTCCTCTTCAACAAAAGACCGGACCCACACACCAAAAAGTTAGACGTTAACAAAGTCGTAATTAATCGCAGTAACAGTTCTATTTCCGATGGTCTGAAATCCGTTTTAGCAAAAGGTCTAAACGTTGCAGTCACACCTAAACACATACCAGTTAATGATATAATTGCCCAAGTAGACGTTGCACTCAGGGGCCTGGGTCACATCGATGCAGACGTAGCAAGATCTGAAATCGCTGCAACCCTCAAAAACGCTAAGATGCCAGCTAGCAACCTCAGCAAAGATGAGCGTTTTGAATTATATAAATTAAAAAAGAGGAATGATATTGTAGTCCTCTCAGCTGACAAAGGCAATGCTACTGTCATCATGGATAAAATAGAATACAACAACAAAATTAAAGAATTACTCGACGATGGTAGTTATACAAAAATAAAAAGAGATCCCACCAACAGCCTCGTCACACAAACCAACAAATTAATTTCTGATTCAACCGCATTAATTGATCAATCTAAACAGTTTTCGTTGAAACCTTCTGCTGCCAGGCCACCAAGATTATACGGCTTACCAAAAATACATAAAGTAGATACACCCCTTCGTCCCATAGTCTCTACTATCGGCTCCCCCACCTACAAACTAGCTCGTTTTTTGTCTGAAATCCTGCGTCCTTTCACTGGAAAGACCACCTCTGCGGTACAAAATTCTACTCACCTGGTATCGACAATCAAGGGTATTTCCCTGTCCCCAGACGACCTGCTTGTCAGTTTTGATGTAGTTTCCTTATTCACCAAGGTTCCTGTACCTGACACCATTGCAATCATTGAAGACTTGGTTCATCAAGGACTAAACACTGAGGTACCCCCCCTGGTGAGACACTGTTTAACCAATACATACTTCACTTGGAATGGAACTTTCTACAAACAAACTGAGGGCACCCCAATGGGCTCCCCCCTTTCTCCAGTTATAGCTAACATTTTCATGGAGAAATTTGAGACTGACGCCATCCAGACTGCCACTCTGCGCCCATCCTTATGGAAGAGGTACGTGGATGACACTTTTGTCATCTGGCCACATGGCCGGCCTGCTCTAGACCAATTCTTCCACCACATCAATTCCATACACCCAGCCATCAGATTTACCATGGAAGTCGAAATAGATGGCAAGATACCTTTTTTGGATGTCCTAATTAAAAAGAGACCTGATGGTTCAATGAGCCAATCTGTCTACAGGAAAGCTACCCATACGGATGCTTATCTGAAACCGGATTCCCACCACCATCCATCACAGAAGAATTCTCTCATCAAGACTCTGTATCATAGAGCCCAATGCATATCCGACCAGGAACACATAAGCAGTGAACTCAAGCACGTACACCAAGCTCTTAGGGCTAATGGTTACTCCGACTATACAATCCGCAAAGCTATCACTCAAACCATGAAGAAGAACCCTCTTGAGGAGCCTTTCAAAACCATCACTTTACCCTACATTGCGGGGATCACAAAAAAGATCTCCAAAATCTTGAATAAACACAAGATCCAGGTCCGTTTCAACACATTACATAAAATCCGTGATCTGGTTCCGTCTGTAAAAGATGTGATTCCGGACATACAATACCCTGGTGTCTACAAACTAAGTTGCCTCTGTGGTAGTAGTTACATTGGAGAAACCAAACGCCATGTCTCGGACCGAATTCGTGAACACAAAGCAGACCTTAAACACGGTAGGACCAACACCTCGGCCGTGGCAGATCATTGTTCTAATTCAGTAGGCTCACATGCCATTGACTTTTCCAAGACAGAGGTTCTTTGTAAGCCATCTGGCTACTATGAGAGATTCGTTCATGAGGCTATCCACATATACAAGCACAGAGACAATTTCAACCGAGAAGATGGATTCTATCTTAGCAATCATTGGAAAGATTTGATAAACCATTTCAGGTCTTAATTGATTGTTCACGCTTACAGTGGCTTTCAGACAGCATACATTATAAAAAATGTCGTCTCCCCCCTCCTCTTTTCAGAATATAGATGGACTAGTCCTAAATAAACTGCCAAATCGTTGCGCTAACGTTTTTTTATAAATAAATAAATGCGCCGTTTAAAAATACATTTATGCAAACCAACACACCTGAAGACGACCTATGGTCGAAACGTCGTGAGAATTTTTTTATTGTTTTATATATTTTATTATTTTGTTGTTTCCCTTCAACGTGACTTTACCGAAAAAACTAAGAATATGAATTACTGCAGTCACGAAAGCTTTAAATCAAAATTTTGCTTCTTGTTGTGTTTAGTTTGCTGTCCTCCCGCAAGTCACTCTCATTCTCTCACTCATTCACTCTCACAATCAATCACTCATTCACTCACACCTGCACTCTCACACTTATACACTCACACTCACTCTCACACATTCACGCGCGCAATCACACTCATTCAGACATTGACTCGTTCACTTTCACTCATTCACGCACTCCCTCATTCACATACTCATTCACATACACTCATTCAATCACTCATTCACTCTCTCACACTTAATCACTCATACACGCGCACACTCATTCAATCACTCACTTATTCACTCATTGATTCCCACACTCACTCTCACGCTCATTCACTCTCACACTCATTTACCCTCACATCCATTCATTCACACGCGCACTCATTCACTCTCACACATTCACACGCGCACAATCTCCCACTCATTCACTCTCACATTTAATCACAGTCACACTCATTCATTCACACGCTCACACTCATTCGGCCTGGAGGAGAAACCCGATGAGCTATGAAGCTCTTCAACTCACCCGGGCTTCGTTGTCTCGGCCTCGGCGACCCCGCGCTCCGCCATTTCGCCTCCGCGGGGCCCGAGACTCCAACCCGGCCAGGGAGACGAGGCAAGACCGTGGTCCCGATCGGGGCCTAGTGATTTTTTTTTATTTTAAACCGCCGTCGTGGCCCTTACAGAAACTCCCTCTTTCCCCCACGACATCTTCGCTTTAATAATAAAACCGTGAAATTGTTAACCATAAAAAAACCGACACACCTTAACAGAATAATAATATGAATAAGAGTTACGGTGGTTTGCAGATGCATTTTTTTGCTCAGATTTCACTCCCATTTATTCTATTCGCTTCGTATTACATTCGACGTCTATCATATTGGTGACCCGTGTCAGACTCTCGATTGAGAACCCTATCCCCGTGTCTCCCAGTTTTAGTTCTGGATTAAACTAAAATAAATATTTTATAAAGTTAAAAACCTTCTAGCCTAAGCTACTAGGCCGCTTACGCCGTCGCCATGACGACCGTCGCTGCCGTAAAGAAGATTCGCCAGCTACTCGCTGTCGTAAAGCGCATGGGGGGTGAGTGGGGGGTGCTTGATCACGTGGGTCACCTGGGGAGGGATGGTGGATTTGTCACGTGGGTCCTGTGAGGGGAAGTTGGGAATGGGGGGGGATTTGTCACGTGGGTCACCTGGGGGGAAGGGGGGAATGGAGGGGGATTTGTCACGTGGGTCACCTGGTGGAGCGGGATTTGTCACGTGGGTCACCGGGGGGGAGGGGGAATTTGTCACGTGGGTCACCTGGGGGGGAGGAGGGATGAGGGGAGGGGGGATTTGTCACGTTGGTGCCATAGTGGGGAAGGGGGAGATGGAGGGGGGGATGGTCACGTGGGTTCTCTTGACGAGGGGGGTGGATCACGTGGGTCCCTTGCAAGGAGAGGGGCGGGGCTTGGACACGTGTGTAACCCCCTCCCCCGTCTGTCGCCCATCTGCTGAGCGGATAAAGAGCTCGGGAGATCACGTGACCATCACTCACCCTACCACTCATCCCACCACTCACCCACTCATTAATTCACCCAATCACTCACCCACACACTCACCCACTCACTCAACCACTCACTCACCCACCTACTCACCCATCCACTCACCCATCCACTCACCCACCCACCCACTCACCCACTCACCCCACCCCCAACTCATTCATTCATCCACGCCTAGCAGATGTCTACCCCCCCCCCCCAGATAGCTCAATTGGGCATCTGGGCCAAGTGTGGCCCGGCCGCCTTCGTCTCCCAGTGCTGGATGTGTCATACAACAACCACCGTTCGGTGACGGCACCACGGTGCTTGCGCTGGGCTGGGTGCACTTTGTGACACGTGAAGTGTCGAACGCCAGCTGGCAGGAGGTCACCGGACAGACCTAGGTACCATGGCTTGACTGCTGTGCCAGGCTAGGTGCAGGAAGTCACGGAACAGATCTTGCAGGTGCCATGGATTGACTGCTGTGCCAGGCTGGGTGCAGGAGGAGGAGGTCACTGGACAGACCCAGGTACCATGGGCTAACGGCTGTGCCAGGTTAGGGACAGACACAGGTATCATAGATTTACTGCTGTGTCAGGCTATGTGCTGGAGGAGGTCACGAGACAAACCCAGGTACCATGGGATGACTGCTGTGCCAGGCTAGCTGCAGGAGGAGGTCACGGGATAGACCCTGTTGGTGCCATGGGTTGACTGCTGTGCCAGGCTAGGTACAACTCGCTGTTTTATCGGCCCGTCGCTCCACTCTTTGTTGTGAGCGTCGTTCCTCTGCCCTCGGCTGATGCTGGAGGGCGACTGCCTCCAACTGCATAACAACAATAAATACCATCACATCCATCACATCCATCATCACAACCATCACAACCACCATATCCATCACAACCATTACAACCACAAAGACAAAGCTCACCTGTGTAGCCTTAATAGACTGTTGGTGCAAGTGCTGTAAGTAGCGAGTAGCAGCACCTATGAAGGCCCGTGTGGCACACGAGGGGGTGGGTGGCCAGCACCACGCCCGGCCGCCTTTGTCTCCCCAGTGGTGATGCTTTTACACATCGTACCAGGTACTCGTTTGAGGCTGAATCGACCTTCGGGGAGGCCCAGAACCGGTTCAAATAGTCGTCACTGGTGTTGGATGTGAGTGGTAATCGAACTGGGGTGGCAGGGTTCGTAGCGCAGTTCGCTAACGGCTACACTACTGCTCCCCACTCATACACAAAGACACAGACACACATATATACACACACGTACACACACCCGCGTACACATCACACGCACATACACTTACACACACCCGCGTACACATCACACGTACACACACCCGTGTACACATCACACGCGCACACACATACACACATATACACACACGTACACACACCCGCGTACACATCACACGTACACATCACACGTTCACACACATATACACACACATGTACACACACAAGTACAGACGCGAACACACAGCCACGCGTACACACACGCGTACACACACGTGTACACACACGTACACACACGCGTACACACACGTACACACACGTGTACACACACGTACACAAACGAGCACACACACGTACACACACACGCGTGCACACAGACGCGTGTGTGAATGGGAGAGGGGAGGAGTTGCCATCAGCTGTGTTTGCTGATTGTTCTGTGCCTCTGCACCGGTCTGTGTGTGTGTTATTGTGTCATTGTGTGTGTCACTTCCAGTCTGTGTGTCAGCGTCTTCGTGTGTGTGAGTGTCAGTATCTGTGTGTGTGTCAGTGTTTGTGTCAGTGTCTTTGTGTGTGTCAGTGTCTTTATGCGTGTCAGTGTGTATGCACCAGTGTGTGTCTTTGTGTCAGTCTGTGTGAGTGTTAGTGGTTAGTGTTTTAGTGTCTTTGTGTATGTCAGTGTGTTAGTGTCAGTGTGTGTGTCAGTTTGCGTGTGTATGTGTGTGTGTCTTTGTGTCACTGTCTGTGTCAATGTGTATGTCAGTGTTTTAGTTTATTTGCCTTTATGTAAGTGTGTGTGTGCCAGTGTGTGTGTCGGGAGCGGTTCCGTAGTGGTTAGCGCACGGCAAACAGTAGCGACGATTATCCGAACCGGTCTGGGCTTCCCCTAGGTCGACTCAACCTCAAATTAGTACAGAGTGCTGTGTCAGCTTCGCTACTAGGGAGACAAAGGCGGCCGGGCGTGGTGCTGGCCACCAACCCCCTCGTGTGCCGTGCCGGCCTTCATAGGTGCCCGCTAACAGCACTTGCCCCTACAGTTTGTTAAGGCTAAATGGGGGATCATTGTCTTTGCGTATCAATATGTATGTGTGTGTGTCAGACACTGACACACACACATACACACTGACACAAAAACAAAGAGACACACACTGACAATGACACACAGATGCACTGACACACATTGACACACACAGAAACACACAGACACACACAGACAAAAACACACACATACAAAGACACATACTGACACACACACTTTCACACGCACACTGACACACAAAGACACCTACATTGACACACACACACAGACAGTGACACACACACTGGCACACACGCACACACTGAAACTCCATCTCCCCTTAACCCCCCGCTCCCCCCACGCAGCCCGAGGCGGGGCGCGCAATGCGCATGCGCCGCGCTGTCCACGGCCCGCGGTGCTGAATCCGCGCAGGGTCTATCAGTGTCTCTCCGTGTCTCCCCCCTGTCTCTTAGTGTCTCCCCCTGTCTAGCAGTGTCTCTCATTGTCTCCCCACCACGTCTCCCCTCCGTGTCTCTCCTCGTGTCTCCCCTCCGTGTCTCCCCTCCGTGTCTCCCCCTATCTCCCAGTGCCTCCCAGTGTCTTCCTCCCCACGGTGTCTCCCCCTGTCTCCCAGTGTCTCTCATTGTCTCACCACCACGTCTCCCCACCACGTCTCCCCTCCGTGTCTCCCCCTGTCTCCCAGTCCCTTTCCCCGTGTCTCCTCCTGTCTCCCAGTGTCTCCCTCCCCCCGTATCTCCCCCTGTCTCCCAGTGTCTCTGATTGTCTCCCCTTCGTGTCTCCCTCTGTCTCCACGCGTCTCCCGGGCTTTGCCTCTGCGTCTCCTCGTGTCTCCGGCTTTCTGGTAAGCCTCACTCTTTGTCCACGCGCAGATGGTGGTGATGGTAGTTGTGGTGGTGATTTTGATGATCGTGATGCTGATGGTGGAGGTGTTAGTAATGGTGGTGATGGTGATAATGTTGATGGTGGTGATGGTGGTATCGATGGTGTTGGTGATGGAGGTAATGAGGGTGATGGTGATGATGATGGTGGTGGCGCTGGTGATGTTGGTAATGTGGTTGTGTTTCGGCTGTTGTGGTTGTTATAGTGATGGTTGCGGTGGTTGTGATAATCTATTGCTTTTACGCAACAAAGGCAAAGCTCCCCCAGGTAGCCTACACAGTGATGTAGGCAAGTGTTGTTAGTAGCAAGTAGCATCAGCGCCTATGAAGGCCGCCACTGTGGTACACACAGAGGGGGTAGGTGGCCAGTACCACGCCCGCCCGGCCGCCTTTGTCTCTCCCAGTGCCACAGATTCACTCACTCATACACAATAACCCACTAGATCACTCACCCCACTCAATCACTAACTCATTCACCCATTCAATCACCCACCCACTCATACACTCACCGATCCATTCACCCACATTCTCACCCACACTCTCACTCACTCACTCACCCACACTCACCCATACTCTCACTCACTCACTCACCCACACTCTCACTCACTCACCTACACTCTCACTCACTCACCCACACTCACCCACACTCTCACTTACTCACCCACACTCACTCACCCACACTCACCCACACTCTCACTCACTCACCCACACTCACCCACAATCACCCACACTCTCACTCATTCACTCACTCACTCACTCACCCACACTCACCCACTCACTCACTCACCCACACTCACCCACACTCACCCACACTGTCACTCACTCACTCACTCACCCACACTCTCACTCACTCACCCACACTCTCACTCACTCACCCACACTCTCACTCACACTCACCTACACTCACCCACACTCTCACTCACTCACCCACACTCTCACTCACTCACCCACACTCTCACTCACTCACTCACCCACACTCACCCACACTTTCACTCACTCACTCACTCATTCACCCACCCACACTCACCCACACTCACTCACCCACACTCACCCACTCACTCACTCACTCACCCACACTCACCCACACACTCACTCACTCACCCACACTCACCCACTCACTCACTCACCCACACTCACCCACACTCACCCACACTCTCACTCACTCACTCACCCACACTCTCACTCACTCACCCACACTCTCACTCACTCACTCACCCACAGTCTCACTCACTCACTCACCCACACTCACCCACACTCGCACTCACTCACTCACTCACCCACACTCACCCACACTCTCACTCACTCACTCACCCACACTCACCCACACACTCACTCACTCACGCACACTCTCACTCACTCACCCACACTCTCACTCACTCACCCACACTCACCCACACTCTCACTTACTCACCCACACTCTCACTCACTCACCCACACTCACCCACAATCACCCACACTCTCACTCATTCACCCACACTCACTCACTCACCCACACTCACCCACACACTCACTCACTCACCCACACTCACCCACTCACTCACCCACACTCACCCACACTGTCACTCACTCACTCACCCACACTCTCACTCACTCACCCACACTCTCACTCACACTCACCTACACTCACCCACACTCTCACTCACTCACCCACACTCTCACTCACTCACCCACACTCTCACTCACTCACTCACCCACACTCACCCACACTTTCACTCACTCACTCATTCAGCCACCCACACTCACCCACACTCACTCACTCACTCACCCACACTCACCCACACACTCACTCACCCACACTCACCCACTCACTCACTCACCCACACTCACCCACACTCACCCACACTCTCACTCACTCACTCACCCACACTCTCACTCACTCACTCACCCACACTCTCACTCACGCACCCACACTCACCCACACTCTCACTCACCCACACTCACCCACACTCTCACTCTCTCACTCGCCCACACTCTCACTCACTCACTCACCCACACTCACCCACAGTCTCACTCACTCACTCACCCACACTCACCCACACTCGCACTCACACACAAAGGCAAAGCGCCCCCAGGAAGCCCATACAGTTTCTGTCGGGGCAAGTGCTGTTAGTAGCGAGTTGCAGCAGCGCCTATAAAGGCCGCCACTGTGGTACACACAGAGGGGGGTGGGTGGTACAGTACCACGATGCACCCCAAACCTGGCCACCTTTGTCTGCCCCAATGCCGATGTTTAATAGCAGTGAATGGGGGTGGAGCACCCACGAAGGCCGGCAATGTGGCATACAAGGGGGTAGGTGGCCAGCACCATGCCCGGCCGCCTTTGTCCCCCAATTGGTCATGCTTTTACACATCGCACCAGAGACTCATCTGAGGCTGAGTCGACCTAGGGGAGGCCTGCAAACGGTTCAAATACTCGTCACTGGTGGTGGCTGTGAGCAGGAATCGAAGTCGGGTCGCCGGGTTCGTTGCGCTGACCGCTACCACGCACTGACGTCACGTTACCCCCCCCCCCCCCATTTCAAGCCGAGTGGATCTAGGGGTGGTAACCCCCCAGATCCCACCACCCCCCACTAGCCCTCTCCTTCCCTCCCCCATCCTGACCCCCCGCCATATGGATTAGCGGGGAGCTTACGTGGACAACGCCTAGGTCGACTACTGGACATCTGTGAGTGAAGAGCTTTACAGATCATCGGATTGCTCACCCACAGTATAAAATAAATATTCCGACATATGGCGGGAGTCACGTGATTTTCATGTTATTTATATTATAATAACATTAATTATTATTTTACTATTATCGTGATATTTATATTGCAGGAGGAGAAATCCGATGATCTGTAAAGCTCTTTGTAGCGTGCGCGGATTGGTCCCAGAACGTTACAACACAAACACACAACAATGCACAAACAATGTACGCAAACAATACACACAAACAATACACAACACAATACGCACTACACAGTACACAAACACAATGCCCACTACGAATTACAACGCACAATAATATACACAGACAATACAGAAAATACACAGCACAATACACAAACACACAATACGCAAAACACACACCCGAACAAAGGTAAAAACAAAATCAGAAGCAAAATCGCTCACGACAAATTTTCACGCACAAATAAAAAAAAGAATCACAAAATCAGAAAAAAGAATCACAAAATAGTGAAAAAATAAATAAAAATTGCAATTTTATTTTTTAAATAGTCAAAAGATTTTTTAAAAAAATTAAAATAGTAATACACTTCTAATTTTTTGTCACAAAATAATAAAATAAATATAATAATAATGTTTAAAACAAATCGAAAAATTGTCGAAAAATATTATAAAAACTTAATAAATAAAAATGTTTAAAAAAAATTGCCTAAAAATGTATTAAGAATTTAAAAATGTCAATTTTTTTTAAACAAAACTTCAAAATATAGTAAAATAATGATCACTAAATAATTAAAAACTAATCATTCGCCTGAGGTAATTCACTTTACTACTATTATTTATTTTTTCAGAAGCTACCCTGGCCCCTGTCACGCGTTATAAGCTCCACAAAAGCGGCTTAGAGTGGGGTCACGTGGATCTGGCATCATCAGCAGCAGCATCAGCAGCAGTGTCATCAGCAGCAGTGTCATCAGCAGCAGTACCATCAGCAGCATCATCAACAGCAGCAGTATCATCAGCAACATCATCAGCAGCAGTAGTATCAGCAGCAGCATCAGCAGCATCATCATCAGCAGCATTATCATCAGCAGCAGTATCATCAGCTGCAGTATCATCAGCATCAGCAGCATCATCAACAGCAGTAGCAGTATCATCAGCAACATCAGCAGCAGTAGTATCAGCAGCAGCATTATCATCAGCAGCAGTATTATCATCATCAGCAGTATCATCAGCAGCAGTATCATCAGCAGCATCATCAACAGCAGCAATATCATCATCATAAGCATCATCAACAGCATTATCATCAACAGCAGCAGCATCAGCAGAATCCTTAGCATCACCAGCATCATCAGCAGCAGCAGAATCGTCAGCGGTAGCATCATCATGAGCATCATCAGGAGCAGCATCATCATTAAAAGCAGCAGTATCAGCATCATCATCAGCAGCATCAGCAGCAGCCTCATCAGCAGCAGCATCATCAACAGCAGCGTCATCATCAGCAGCATCATCAGCAACTACAGCATCGCCAATTTTCACTCACAAATACAAAGATCCCCCGTGTAGCATTAGCGGACTGTAGGGGCAAGTGTTGTTAGTAGCGATTAGCAGCGCCTATGAAGGCCGGCACTGTGGCACACGAGGAGGTGGGTGGCCAGCACTACGCCCGTCCGCCGTTGTCTCCCCAGTGGCGATGTTTAGTACACACCGCACCAGGTACTCGTTTGAGGCTGAGTCGACCTAGGGTAGGCCCAGGACCGGTTCAGATAATCGTCACTGGTGGTGTTGGCCGTGAGTGGGAATCGAACTCGGGTCGCCGGGTTCATAGCGCAGCATAGTGCTACCCGCTCCACTACCGCTCCCCTACTACACAACAACAACCGCCATTCGCCACTAAGTGGCGGCGCCGTCACCACGACGCTTGTGCCAGGCCATGTGCACCTTGAGGCCACGTGATGTGTCGAACGCTCGCTGGCAGGAGGTCACGGGGCAGACCCAGGTGCCACAGGTCGACTGACTGAGATGACTGGCTGATGCACCACCTGTGCCCCCTACTGTGCCAACTTGCTGTGCTTTAGCTACCAGGCGCTCCGCTCGTTGTTGTGAGCGTCGCTCCTCCGCCCTCCGTTGTTGTTGGAGGGCGACTGCCTCCAACTGCCCACTAACACACACGCGCACACAGACACACCACGCACACAGACACACACAGACTGGCTCCAACTGCCCAGTAGCATCCTTCACGAGCCTCCTCCACAGAGGCCGATCTTGACACCGCTGGTACCAGTCATTGGCAAGTCCACTC